TTTAGGCAACACAAATGTTCCTATGATTTATAGTTATACAGACAGTTTTCAGGCAACACAAATGTTCTTGTGAGTTATAGTTATACAGACAGTTTTCAGGCAACACAAATGTTCCTATGAATTATAGTTATACAGACAGTTTTCAGGCAACACAAATGTTCCTGTGAATTATAGTTATACAGACAGTTTTTAGGCAACACAAATGTTCTTGTGAGTTATAGTTATACAAACAGTTTTCAGGCAACACAAATGTTCCTATGATTTATAGTTATACAGACAATTTTCAGGCAACACAAATGTTCCTATGAATTATAGTTATACAGTTAATTGTCAGGCAACACAAATGTTCCTGTGAATTTTGTTATACAGACAGTTCTCAGGCAACACAAATGTTCCTATGAATTATAGTTAGACAGACAGTTTTCAGGCAACACAAATGTTCCTGTTAATTACAGTTATACAGACAGTTCTCAGGCAACACAAATGTTCCTATGAATTATAGTTATACATACAATTTTCAGGCAACACAAATGTTCCTGTGAATTACAGTTATACGGACAGTTTTCAGGCAACACAAATGTTCTTGTGAGTTATAGTTATACAAACAGTTTTCAGGCAACACAAATGTTCCTGTTAATTACAGTTATACAGACAGTTCTCAGGCAACAAATGTTCCTGTGAATTCTAGTTATACAGACAGTTTTCAGGCAACAAAAATGTTCATGTGAATTATAGTTATACAGACAGTTCTCGGGCAACACAAATGTTCCTATGAATTATAGTTATACAGTTAATTGTCAGGCAACACAAATGTTCCTGTGAATTTTGTTATACAGACAGTTCTCAGGCAACACAAATGTTCACACAAATGTTCTTGTGAGTTATAGTTATACAGACAGTTTTCAGGCAACACAAATGTTCCGATGAATTATAGTTATACAGACAGTTTTCATGCAACACAAATGTTCCTGTGAATTATAGTTATATAGACAGTTTTCAGGCAACACAAATGTTCCGATGAATTATAGTTATACAGACAGTTTTAAGGCAACACAAATGTTCCTGTGAATTATAGTTATATAGACAGTTTTCAGGCAACACAAATGTTCTTGTGAGTTATAGTTATACAGACAGTTTTCAGGCCACACAAATGTTCCTGTGAATTATAGTTATATAGACAGTTTTCAGGCAACACAAATGTTTCTGTGAATTATAGTTATACAGACAGTTTTAAGGCAACACAAATGTTCCTGTGAATTATTGTTATACAGACAGTTTTCAGGCAACACAAATGTTTCTGTGAATTATAGTTATACAGACAGTTCTCAGGCAACACAAATGTTCCTATGAATTATAGTTATACAGACAGTTTTCAGGCCACACAAATGTTCCTGTGAATTATAGTTATACAGGCAGTTTTTAGGCAACACAAATGTTCTTGTGAGTTATAGTTATACAAACAGTTTTCAGGCAACACAAATGTTCCTGTTAATTACAGTTATACAGACAGTTCTCAGGCAACAAATGTTCCTGTGAATTATAGTTATACAGACAGTTCTCAGGCAACACAAATGTTCACACAAATGTTCTTGTGAGTTATAGTTATACAAACAGTTTTCAGGCAACACAAATGTTCCTGTGAGTTACAGTTATACAGACAGTTTTCAGGCAACAAATGTTCCTGTGAATTATAGTTATATAGACAGTTTTCAGGCAACACAAATGTTTCTGTGAATTATAGTTATACAGACAGTTCTCAGGCAACACAAATGTTCCTATGAATTACAGTTATACAGACAGTTTTCAGGAAACACAAATGTTCCTATGAATTATAGTTATACAGTTAATTGTCAGGCAACACAAATGTTCCTGTGAATTATAGTTATACAGACAGTTCTCAGGCAACACTACAATTTTTTTTAACACTGTGATAAAAAAATATGTTATATTACTCATTCTAAATTAACCTTTTGAAATATGTTTGCTAATGATGGTTTATTATCACTTTCTATAGGCAGATATGAGGGTCTCCATATCAAATTTCATGGCTTTTGTGCATCAGTCTGTCAATGAAACGAGCCAGCAATATCTACTCAATGAGAAAAGATACAACTACACAACACCAAAGAGTTTCTTGGAGCAGATCAAACTGTATGACAACCTTTTAAACAAGAAGAATGCAGATTTGCAGGCAAAGATTATTCGTTTAGAGAATGGTTTGGAGAAGCTGAGAAGTACAGCTACACAGGTAACCACTTAAACAAAAATCACAGTTCTATGATGTGTAATAACAGACAAAGTGTGTGTAGGGGACAGGTAGGGATCAGTCTTTTACTTTGATGTGTAAAAATGGAACAAAATGATGTAAGCTTAAAAAGAATTGCAGAAAAAGAATCAATTAGAAAATAGTTTGCTGAAGGCTTTTTTTCACCATGAACCATGGTTTACCGTTATGGTAATATGACTCCTATTTATTTACCATGCTACACAATACCATGTTGTAACACCAGAATAAGTGTCTGTCCTGCAGTTTATTGATCTGTGGTGGACACAGCTCTGTCTAATGTTCTTGTTGAGTTTTTCCTGAAAAATCCTGTAAACAAACTTCATTAGTGGTGAAGTCTGACCTTTTTACCTTTTAATCTTGATGAATGACCATCAAAATATATTAAGGTGTTGAACTTAATGTTACCATTCTATGATGTAAATATCAACTCATTACAATATGAGTCCGTCGTCCGTCGTCGTTGTCCATCGTCAACTTTTTCTTTAAAACCTATCATCTCCTAAACGCCAAAGAGGATTTCAACCATATTTAGTCTGAAGCATCACTAGGGGAGGGCAATAATTTCTTAAATAAATGAGGTTGGTTCGACCCCTGGGGCCAGGGGGGCAGGGCCCTGAAGGGGAACTTAGCTATATTTGCTTTAAAACGCATCTCCTACTTAACACTAGTGAGGATTTCAACCAAATTTAGTCTGAAGCATCAGAAGGGAAGAGCAATCTTTTCTTAAATAAATGAGGTTGGTTCGACCCCTGAGGCCATGGGGGCGGGGCCGTGAAGGGGAACTTAGCTAAATTTGCTTTAAAACGCATCTCCTGCTAAACGCCAGAGAGGATTTCAATCAAATTTAGTCTGTAGCATCAGAAGGGAAGAGCAATCGTTTCTTAAATAAATGAGGTTGGTTCGACCCCTGAGGCCATGGGGGCAGGGCCCTGAAGGGGAACTTAGCTAAATTTGCTTTAAAACGCATCTCCTCCTAAACACGAGAGAAGATTTCAACCAAATTTGCTCTGAAACTTCATTGGGGGAGGGCAATCATTTCCTAATTAAATGAGACTGGTTCGACACCTGGGGCTATGAAGACCGGGCCCCAAACAGGAAAATTATCTTATATTTTGCTTTAAGACGCTAATACCCCCTAATTGCCTGAGTGGATCGTACAAAATTTGGTCAAAAACATTATTGAGGAAGAACAAACATTTCTTAATTGAATGAGGTTGATTTGACCCCTGCGGTCCTAAGAAATGGTACAGCTAGATTATCATATTCTATGGTGTAGTTTTCATAAATTGTTAAAAATTGGTTTCTTGGTTTATAAAAGCTTATAGTTGAATGGTAATTAAAGAATTGTCTAATTACACCCTGTAATATGACATATTACATATTTCAAAATCTGTTAACATGGCAACTCAGTGGAGGCTCCTGATTAGTTGAAAGTCAGATATTGTGGTCCCAGTTGGGATAGAACATAGATCTTGTCTGGTTTTGAGGAAATTTCATATAAAGATGTACTAATTAATGCATTCAGTTGTGATGACTTAAATATAAAACCAGGTGAGCGATACAGGTCCAATGGATCTCTTGGTTTTTTTGTCAGAGCTTGCCCTTTTTCTACTTTCTTTTCAAGCTCACAATTTTACAACATACTACTACAATTCTCTTAACTTACTGTGATCAATTGTGAACACAAAGACAACCCACCTCACCATGCAGTATAATCCATACATCCTTTATAGTGTAGGATGGTTCCTTATTGCCTTTTTTTCATTCATAAATATTTCATTTAATTAACTGGTGGTTCAAGACTATATATATATAGTAATCATGCTACTGGAGCAGCAGCCTGAACTCTAAAAACAGTAGAGTGTTTGTAAGACTAGTGCATACCTGTTTAACCTGATTAGAGACAAACACTTTGACAGATATATACACAGTAGAGTGTTTGTAAGACTAGTGCATACCTGTTTAACCTGATTAGAGACAAACACTTTGACAGATATATACACAGTAGAGTCTGTGTAAGACTAGTGCATACCTGTTTAACCTGATTAGAGACAAACAGTTGGTCAGTCATGTTTGGGGTTGACACAAGGTGTAATGAAAACTATCAAAATTTCAAACCTGTTTTCACTGTCAATTGTAGGTTGCAGATTTGAAATCCAAATTAGCATCACAAGAGGTAGAGCTGGCCCAAAAGAATGAGGATGCCAACAAGCTTATCACAGTGGTAGGTGCAGAGACAGAGAAGGTGTCAAAGGAAAAGGCGTTTGCTGATGAAGAGGAGAGGAAAGTGTCTGTGATCACAGAGGAAGTTACTAAAAAGGCATCGGACTGTGAGCGAGATCTTGCAAAGGCTTTGCCTGCCCTGGAGGCTGCAAAGGATGCATTGAACACACTTAACAAGGTACAAAACGATTTCAATGAAATTTTACAGATGTCATAACTACCCCCTACTGTTGTGCATCCAGGTATTATATTTTCATTCAGATCCTTCTGTATGGAGTTATATGGCCCTTGTTTTAAAAAAAAATTATCCGGACAACTCTTCCAAAACTTCTTGGCCAATTTGAAAGGAAGTTTTCAGATCCGCAATGTTGTGCATCCAGGGATTTTTTTTCATTCCTGACATTTTTATGCCCCCGCCATAAAATGGGGGGGGGGGGGGGGGGAATATATAGTGTTGCCCCTGTCCGTCCCGTCCCGTCCGAATTCAATGTAAACACTTCGCAACTTCATTCTTTAACAGATATTGGTAAAACAGTATACAAAATTCAAGTATGAGTATACTTCAGACATCATTGTGTTTCAGGGATCCAAGGTCAAGGCCAAGGTCACACTTGCTATATATAGAAAATCATCAACTGATTCAATTTAAAAACACTTAGCAACTTCATTCTTTCCCGGGTTTTGGTCAAACTTTATACAAAGGTCAAATATGGGTATACCTCTGACATCCTTGTGTTTCAGGGTTCCAATTTCAAGGCCAAGGTCACTGTTGCTATATATAGAAAATCATCAACTGATACAATTTAAACACTTAGCAAATTCATTATTTCAATGATTTTGGTCAAACTTTATATATACATAAAGGTCAAGTATGGGTATACGTCTGACATCCTTGTGTTTCAGGATGGTAATAACATACAGAAAAAACATATGAATATTAAAATCAACTTATCAACTTTAAGTGGAGTACCTTGTGTGTGCATGTTTCAAGGTATCAAGATCAAAGTGGTTTTAACTTTTTATAGAACACTGAAACTAACTTCACATGGCAGCGGGGGCATTTATGTCTTACAGACATTTTCTTGTTTCAATTGGTACACTCAATATTTGACATCAACACACTCAACAATCATGATTAACTCATTCAAAAAGATATTTTGACTAAAGCTGGTCTAGAGTGTTCTTTGGCCAGGAGTATCCTACATTGTTGTATAGAAAACAGATGTGGACCCCTTTGGTCAGAGGGATGAGCCCAATAGGGGAAATACATGTAAATTTGGTAAATTCTACTCCTTGAGGATGGGTAAAGAAAAATTAACCTTATTTGGTCTGGAATATACTTTGGCCTATGGGACTCAACATTGTGTAAATGGTGGGTATAGCTTCCCTGGGGACAGAGTGATGGAACCTAAAAGGGAAATTGGTGGCATATAAGAGCGCTACAGGCATCTGCTTTTGACAACCAGAAGTTAACAAGCCAAACCAGTGAAATGGGACGGGAACCCCCCCTGACATTTGACCCCATATCAATCCGCCATCACATTTTAAAATCTACTAAAACTATACATTTTTCTAAAGTTCAATATCTGTAGATTTCATTCAATATAAAATATGTCAACAACTACCTATTTAAATTACTCAGAGGCACTGTATTAATCCGGAACAAATTTTAGATATGGATTAAAATTGTATGAAACACTTGCTGATTGGCTGATTTAGTTGTGCGAGTCCTTAAATGGACATGGTCAAATAGGAATTATAAATACTTTACAAAATGTATCTTGTTCTGTTCTTATGTTTATTGTCCACTTTTGATATACACGTTACTATATCTGACATATATACTCAATATTAGGTGAGCTATTGTGATTGATTCAATATGTTTGCTTGCATGCTGACATTTCACATGAAGGTTTATTGTAATAAAAGTTGCAGTGTAATACACAGGTCACTGATATTTCTTTTCAGACAAATTTGACTGAACTAAAGTCTTTCGGTAGCCCCCCTCCATCAGTCATCAATGTCTCTGCATGTGTCATGGTTCTGTTATCCCCTGGCAACAAAATTCCAAAGGACAGGAGCTGGAAGGCTTGTAAGACCCAGATGATGGGTAAGGTAAGTGTTGGACAACATAACCTGGTAAAATATGCTTAATATGAACCAATTGTAATGCTTAAAACAAAGCCAGAGTTGCGTGCCCCGGCAAGTATTTGTTTCTTGAACATCAAAATCAATCAAAAGTTTGGCTAAAAGCAAATGCTATTGAAATTTTTATTACGACACATGATAACCTAACTATTAGTGTATCAATTTCCAAAGTGGCATTATGTGTATCAATTACTCCGAGTCACAATTTACTATGTGTCATTGTATATCACTATATTGCCCAAGTGCCAATGTATCTATTAACAAAGTGTCAATGTATCTATTACCAAAGTGTCAGTGTATCAGTTACCCAAGTGTCAGTATATCAGTTACCCAAGTGTTAGTATATCAATTACACAAGTGTCAGTATATAAGTTACCCAAGTGTCAGTATATCAATTACCCAAGCGTCAATGTATCTATTACCAAAGTGTCATTGTATCTAGTGCCCACGAGTCATTGTATCTAGTGCCCAAGTGTCATTGTATCTACTGCCCAAGTGCCAATGTATCTATTAACAAAGTGTCATTGTATCTATTACCAAAGTGTCATTGTATCTACTGCCCAAGTGTCATTGTATCTAGTGCCCAAGTGTCATTGTATCTAGTGCCCAAGTGTCATTGTATCTACTGCCCAAGTGTCAGTGTATCTATTACCAAAGTGTCATTGTATCAGTTACCCAAGTGTCAGTATATCAGTTACCCAAGTGTCAGTATATCAGTTACCCAAGTGTCTGTTTATCAGTTACCCAAGTGTCAGTATATTAGTTACCCAAGTGTTAGTTTATCTATTACCAAAGTGTCAGTATATCAGTTACCCAAGTGTCAGTATATCAATTACCCAAGTGTTAGTATATCAGTTACCCAAGTGTCAGTATATCAATTACCCAAGTGTCAGTATATAAGTTACCCAAGTGTCAATGTATCTATTACCAAAGTGTCAGTGTATCAGTTACCCAAGTGTCAGTATATCAGTTACCCAAGTGTCAGTATATCAGTTACCCAAGTGTCAGTATATCAGTTACCCAAGTGTCAGTATATCAGTTACCCAAGTGTCAGTATATCAGTTACCCAAGTGTCAGTATATCAGTTACCCAAGTGTCAGTATATCAGTTACCCAAGTGTCAGTATATCAGTTACCCAAGTGTCAGTATATCAGTTACCCAAGTGTCAGTATATCAGTTACCCAAGTGTCAGTATATCAGTTACCCAAGTGTCAGTATATCAGTTACCCAAGTGTCAGTATATCAGTTACCCAAGTGTCAGTATATCAGTTACCCAAGTGTCAGTATATCAGTTACCCAAGTGTCAGTATATCAGTTACCCAAGTGTCAGTATATCAGTTACCCAAGTGTCAGTATATCAGTTACCCAAGTGTCAGTATATCAGTTACCCAAGTGTCAGTATATCAGTTACCCAAGTGTCAGTATATCAGTTACCCAAGTGTCAGTATATCAGTTACCCAAGTGTCAGTATATCAGTTACCCAAGTGTCAGTATATCAGTTACCCAAGTGTCAGTATATCAGTTACCCAAGTGTCAGTATATCAGTTACCCAAGTGTCAGTATATCAGTTACCCAAGTGTCAGTATATCAGTTACCCAAGTGTCAGTATATCAGTTACCCAAGTGTCAGTATATCAGTTACCCAAGTGTCAGTATATCAGTTACCCAAGTGTCAGTATATCAGTTACCCAAGTGTCAGTATATCAGTTACCCAAGTGTCAGTATATCAGTTACCCAAGTGTCAGTATATCAGTTACCCAAGTGTCAGTATATCAGTTACCCAAGTGTCAGTATATCAGTTACCCAAGTGTCAGTATATCAGTTACCCAAGTGTCAGTATATCAGTTACCCAAGTGTCAGTATATCAGTTACCCAAGTGTCAGTATATCAGTTACCCAAGTGTCAGTATATCAGTTACCCAAGTGTCAGTATATCAGTTACCCAAGTGTCAGTATATCAGTTACCCAAGTGTCAGTATATCAGTTACCCAAGTGTCAGTATATCAGTTACCCAAGTGTCAGTATATCAGTTACCCAAGTGTCAGTATATCAATTACCCAAGTGTTAGTTTATCAATTACACAAGTGTCAGTGTATCAGTTACACAAGTGTCAGTATATCAATTACACAAGTGTCAGTATATCAATTACACAAGTGTCAGTGTATCAATTACACAAGTGTCAATGTATCAGTTACCCAAGTGTCAGTATATCAATTACCCAAGTGTCAGTTTATCAATTACCCAAGTGTCAGTGTATCAATTACCCAAGTGTCAGTGTATCAGTTACCCAAGTGTCAGTGTATCAATTACACAAGTGTCAGTTTATCAATTACCCAAGTGTCAGTTTATCAATTACCCAAGTGTCAGTGTATCAATTACCCAAGTGTCAGTGTATCAGTTACCCAAGTGTTAGTTTATCAGTTACCCAAGTGTAAGTTTATCTATTACCAAAGTGTCAGTATATCAGTTACCCAAGTGTCAGTATATCAGTTACCCAAGTGTCAGTATATAAGTTACCCAAGTGTCAGTGAATCAATTACCCAAGTGTCAGTATATAAGTTACCCAAGTGTTAGTTTATCAATTACCCAAGTGTCAGTATATCAGTTACCCAAGTGTCAGTATATCAGTTACACAAGTGTCAGTGTATCAGTTACCCAAGTGTCAATATATCAATTACCCAAGTGTCAGTTTATCAATTACCCAAGTGTTAGTTTATCAATTACACAAGTGTCAGTGTAACAGTTACCCAAGTGTTAGTTTATCAATTATCCAAGTGTTAGTATATAAGTTACCCAAGTGTCAGTATATCAGTTACCCAAGTGTCTGTTTATCAGTTACCCAAGTGTCAGTATATAAGTTACAAATGTGTCAGTATATAAGTTACCCAAGTGTCAGTATATCAGTTACCCAAGTGTCAGTTTATCAGTTACCCAAGTGTCAGT